GCTGCTAGCTTACATATCCTTTCGTAATATGGATAAAATGCTAATAAGCCTAGGAAATAATATAGCATATAAATATATTTATAAGAAATGGGCGGCCTTAAAGCTTAATAAGATTAATTACAAGGTACTTATAATGCTAATTAATAATTAAATATGCATTATTAAGCAAGATGGAAAGGAAGTTAAAGTTTCCTATCTTTATTACTTTTCCATACTTAAAATATTTAATAAGGAGTAATTTATGCAATTAATGCCACTTATAAATGCCTTATGCAAGGTTTAAGTATAAGTTCTATATATTAAGGTTCCTGCCCTTATGGATAATAAGTCTAAAAAAGAAATCATTAGCATAATTATAAAGGCAATGCATAACTAGCTTTAGTCTTATTATATTTCTTATAACAAGAATAAGATAAATATTAAATAATAATGAATTAATATATATGCTATAATTATTAAGCTATTTATAATAATAAAGAAGTTTAATAATAAAGAAAAGCTTATTTATAGCTTTATTTATATGCTTTTATAAAGGCTTTAAAAGCATTATGCAAATAAGGAAAACAACACTAAAGGTAAGACTTTAAAGAAGCATTATGCTAAAACTATAAAGAAAGTTAATAAGTATTGCAATTATCTTATATTGCTAATAAATATGACAGCTAACATTTTGCAGTTTATATTGGTTTGCATATTATATAATAATCCACTAAATAAGCTATTTAACTTTTAATTCATAGCATATCAGCTTAAATAAATAAGTTAGCTTAAGAAGGAACTAGCAATGGCTTTAGCCTTATTCTTTAATTTTAAGCAACCTTAACTCCCTAAATATAATAAATTAAATAAACTTATAAAAATCTTTAGTTTTAATAAAGAAAAGATAAAAAAGTTTATAATTAACCTTTATTTTATTAAAGTTAATAATAATATTATAACCAAATTAAAGGTTTAAGGCCTTCTTAAGATAAAGGAATTTTAAAACACTCCCTTAGTTTAATAATTTATTATATTTAATGGTAATCCTATTACTATAAATATTATATAAATTTTCTTTATCTTAAGTTAAGCAATGCATTAATTTTATTATAACCTAGCCCTTTCATTTTATAAATTAAATAACATTTAAGATAAGCATAAAGGTTTCTTTTACCTAAAAACGCTTTAAGATGCAAATAATAAGATTATTACCATCACTATATTAAAGTTTTAGCATTATAAAGCCATTATTATTTAACATATCTTGCAAGCATTATATATATTCTTTAAGGATTAAAAGCATGCCTTAACTATGCTTATTAAAGCGCTCTTTATAGCTTTAATCATTAAAGGCATTCCCAATAATAGCAAGACTATGCTAGCTTACATTATCCTTCTTGCCTATATATACTTATTTATTCAAAACGCTCTACATATAATTTATTAATTAAAAGCGCTAAAAATCCTTAATAAGGATAACCTAAACCTTAACTTCTTAAATAATAAGCATTAATTTAATAAGGACAATATATAATATAATATTAAGCTAATTATTGCAATATCCTTAAATAATAATGATAATGCTCATTTAGTTAAAGGCAAGTGGCATAAGGATGATATCTATAAATGCAGCTAGGAAGTTTGGAATTATTATAAAATTCCCAACTTTGCATTTAGCTTAAGTCTTGCTTAATAGCAATACATTTACTAATCTATTAAAGCAAATACCATAAAGTGGAAAACATACTGCAAGTCTTTATTTACTACCATTTAAAATACTTATTACTACAACTTTAATCATAGCTATTCTTCTTTAATAATAAATAACTACGCTAAGCTAATTTATGAAAAGCACTAAAACTTATAATACTTATTAATGCTATTAGCAATAAGGTTTAAGGATAAAACTACCTATAATATAACCCTAACTATAAAGTTTAAGGAAAAGGCAGCTACCATAAATAATATTTACAAGGAAATTACTTTGCAAGCTAAATAACCTAAACCTAAAAACCTTAGTTACAATCCTTAAGTTATAATTATTGCTAATTAAAATGCAAATAATAATAACGTTATAGCCTTAATGCATAAAATATTTAATGTTAATTTATAATTTAATAAACTTATTATCCGCGTTATTAACTTGCAATTAAAGAGCAAAGCATTAAAAAAAAACTTTTACCTTAAGTATAATAAGGGTATACATTAAGCCTTAAAAATCTTTAATATCTTATGCTTAAGTATATAGCTTAAGAAGCTGCATAATCTTATAAATTGCATTAAGGAGTTTACCTATAGTAAGTATAATAGTATTTAAAAACTAGAAAATATTATGCTTTAGAAATTATAGGATAGATATAAGCCCGGCTTAATGCACTTATTGCATTAACTTAGCAACCCAGCCAACATCCTAACCCTAAATAAGATAAAGATCCTAAATAAGAACATTAATAAGTTTATAAAAAAAATCCTTAATAAAGCTAAGGTTATTATTTATATATTTATTGTTGCCTAATCCTTAGCGCATAAGGAACTTATGAACCTTATAATTATCCTTATTAATAAAGTATTATAAGAATTTAAACTATATATTTACTAAGCGTAAATTGCATTTAATTATTACCTTTTTATACTTATTAATAATTATTACTAAGATAAACTATTTATTAATGGATAATATAATAAGAATAATAAATATAAAAACATTTACCTTAATCAACTCTTAACACCCTTCTTTCATTAAGTTATAATTATAAGACCTAATTGCATTACTTTCCTTATGGAAAATTATTAATAGCATAAAGAACTTTAAGATTTTGCATTTAATGTCTTTTATAATGAAAACATGCAAACCATTTTTAACTCTTATATGCCTTTTAACTTAACCTATGCTTAATATATATTTACTTAGCAATTTATTTATAATATATATGCTTTTAAAATAAATTTTAATTTTATTAATAATAAGGTATTTAAGTTGCTCTTTAATAATTATATCTCTTTAATATGCTAGTTTATAATGATTAAGAAAGGCGTTAGCTTTATTAATATAGTATAAGCTTAATTATTAATGGAAATAGCAGCTTGCGTTTATTAATTTTATATTTTAAGTATTAATATAATAATAAGGCCCTAAATTTGCATTATTATGCTTTATAATGCCTAAGTTAATAAAATTAAGACCCGCCTTTAAGCCTTATTTAATAAGGAAGTTTATTATAACTTTATTAAAGTTTGCATTTAAATAGCTGCAATGGGTAATAAATAAGATATTATGATTCTTTGCTTTATTTAAAATAATAATATAAAATTCCTTTCCAAGGCTAATTGCATTAACGTTATATAAATATACTTTAAGTACCTATTAATTAACATTTTAAATAAGAACTTTTTTACTAAGCTTAAAGAATAAAATGCAAAGATTATAGCTTGGTATACAGCAACTTAAGCACTTTACGACATATATTGCAAGGATCTTTGCAATTAAAGCAGCGTTTATTATTAATGCTATATTTCCCATTATATTATTAAAAAGGTTGCTTAAAAGAATTATAATAAGCTTATTTATTTCTTTTATAAGTTTAAAGGTTATTATGCTTATAACTATTAAGAAAAGGGTTTGCTTAATTCAATTATAAACCCTAATATTATCAACCTTTTGCAATAAAATATTAAGCAAGATTATGGCAATAAGGAGACTATTAATTAGTAAGAAGATAATGAACATAACCCTAAGGTGAATTCTCCTATGCAGCTTAAGAAGGATTTCTAAATAAACTTGCAAAATAATGATAATAATGCTAATTGCAATAAGGTTAAAAAATTAATAAAGGAACTTTACTTAGACTTAAAGGCTTAATTAAATAAACTGCTTTAAGATAATGCCTTGGAAATGCTTAATATACAGCTTCTTATTATATTAGCAAAAGATATAAAGCTTAATGAATTTAAGCAGTTTAATAATAAAAATGAAGAGGAAGATAAGGATTAGGCTAAAAATTTAAATAATTTTAAAGAATTCTTAATAAGTAAGAAGACTATTAAGCTTAGAAAGGTTTATTAAGGCTTAAAGAAAAAGAAGAAGGGCGTATAAACTAATGTTTACATTGTGGATAATAATAAAGTTACTAACTGAAACTCCTAAGTTGCGGCTAGTAATGCTTTTATTTTAATTATAACCGTTATGAATATACTTATTGCAAATCTAGATTTAGTTTTTACTAATTAGGCCGATAAGTTTAATTAAGCCGCTAAATCCAGCTAAGCCGCTAAATCCAAGTAAACCAATAAACCCAATAAATCCACTAAATAGGCTGCCAAACTTAATAAGTCCACTAATTAGGCTGCCAAACTCAATAAGTCCACTAATTAGGCTGCCAAACCCAATAAGTTTACCAATTAAGCCGGTAACTAAGCTGCTAAATTCAATAAGTTTATTAATTAGGCCGGTAAATTTAATAAATAGGATGATGAAAATGGATGGTAAATTAATTAGGACTAAGGACTCTTAAAGAAGAAGTAATTATAAGATTATTTGCCAATATTAAAGCATATAAGGATACATGCATTTTTTAAGGGCTGGGTATGTTGAGGGATAACTAAGCACTCCCCTCTCTTTTAATATACCACACCTTCCGTAGCCCGCCTAGCATTAGCTTCTTAAAAGACATACATATATACTCTGCGAGATACTTTAATTAAATTGGCTGTTAGCAACCCCATTTAGTTCCCTAATCTGGTTCTAGAAGCCCTTGTGTGTCTCGTTATAGGATGGGCATCTCGCCACCGAGTTACCATACTAGCCGTGCTCATGCCCTCTCTTATCTCAGCCAGAGTCGTCTCCTCACTGCCACCGAAGAAATCCACGCCATCAGTCAGCTAACCGCCGACATCCCATTCCAATCTCTTGAATGTATTGTCATCAAATAGATATGATGTCTCTGTCTTGTCCCAGGGCAGAATTAGGTCTTTATAGTTGTGTTGGGACAGCTTATTCGCCGGCAGAGCATAGGGACCCAGAATTACATCCTCAAATTCGGATAATATAGCTTGAGCTTCGGAAGCATTTGGTGTCGATTTGGGATCTGCGGGCATTCAGTATGTCGGCTTCTTCCATTCTTCAAGCAAACTCATCTATGCCAGAAAGCACTTACTGCCATGCCCGCAGTCATCAGATTCACCGAGCCGTGCTTCACCTGGCTCAGACGATCAAGGTCCTCTGCTGCACAGGTCAAGAATTCGATATCCTTCCCAGCCTTCGTGGTACCACCCATCGCTCTGGCTTTAGCAATCATCTCAATGCCGGGATCGACGCCGAACGCTGTCGTGAAGAAGGGTCCCACATCACGGATGACCTGTCCGGTGCCGGTACCAACGTCGAGGACGACATCGAAAGAGCCACCTGCTGATTGATGCAGGGATATTGTTGGCAAGCACGACCCTCGCCTTTGCCCAACTACTTTAGTTATCCCCTACGGGGCACGTAGCCTCTCAGAACTTAGACAGAACAACACCAATAAACGATTGCTTACCTATACGATTATCGTACGTATGAGAGACCTACCAACACTAATCAGTATGTTAAGTAGCTTCTTCTTGCTAATCGTTGCTTATTAGCCAAATGTTTAATTGATTAGCATCCCTCCTTTTTATAAACGTAATATCTTTTCTTTTAGGGGCGTCCTCCTCCTTTATAAGTATTATTACTTTAAGCTTTATAGCTAGTGCTATAGGATCTTAGCTGCTTAAAGCTTAAATGGCTTAAGTTTAATTAGCTAAATCTTTAATTTCTTTAAAACCCTTAAGATTATAATTATTATCCTCCCCTTAGCTTTTAATTAATATATTTATAATTAATATAATATTAATTTAAAACTTTATTTATAATATAAATTATAATTATATAGTTAAGCTATATTTTTTATTATAAATCTTAAGTTTAAAAATAACTCTTTATATAATTAAGTTAGCTTAAAAAAAGCTATTTTTAACTTAAAAACCTTTTTATAAGCTTTAATTATTATTATTTTTAAGTTATCTTTCTTAATATAATTTTAATTTAATATTTATTAATAAAGTTATAACTTATTAAATATTAAATATAAAACTTTATATAAATCTTTATTTAAATTTTATATTTTTATCTTTATAAATATTATTATTATTTAATTTATATAATAATATTAATAATTAAAGTTTATATTAAAATACATTTTAATTTTAAGATATATTATTATAAATATATTAATTTAATTTATAAAATAAAAATAATAAAACTTAACTTAATTTTTAAGTATTTTAAAGAAAGATTATATGGAATTAATTTAATTAAATTTTAATATAATAATAAATATTAAAAAGTATTTTTATTTTATTATTTAATAAATTATATAAGTTTTTAATATACTTATAAAAGTTATTAAAAATTTTTATAAATTATATTAACTTTATTAAATTTAAGTATTTATTAATAATATATTATAAAGAAAGAATTTTATATAAATTATACTTTTTATTTAATAAAGATATTTTTAAAGCAGCTTAAAATTATATTAAGTATAATATATATTTTTAATATAAGCTTTATTTTTATTTTTTTAATAATAATAATAAGTTTTATTAATTATATTAATTTTTAATAAATTATATTATTAAGTTTAAGTTTTATAATTATATATTTAAAGTTAATAATAATAATAAAAGTTATTTTAAGGATTATTTTTTTAATAATTATTATTATTTAAAGCTTATTTATAATGTTTATAAGGATTATATTTATAATTATTATAATAATATTAAAAATTATATTTAAGCTATTTATAATTATTATTTTTAAAGTTATATATAATATTTATTTATATTTAATTTTAAGGTTATTAAAATATTATAAAGCTTATTATTAATTTATTTTAATCTTTCCTTAGCTTAAGCTATAATAATTAATTATAATATTATAAATTAATTATTATATTTTATATAAATACCTTATATTTAAAGGAAAAGTTTTAAATATTACTTATATTTATATTATATAATTTTAAAAATAAATAATAAAAAGATTATTATTATAAAGATTTTATTATATATAATTTATTAAAACATTTATTAAATAAATAATTAAGTATTTTATTAATGCTTTTTATATAAAAATTATAAATTATAATTTTAAGTTAATATATTTATAATAAGCTAAATTAATTAAAGTTTAAATAAATATCTTATTAATTATATATTCTTTAATAAAAATTAATAATTGTTTAATATTATTAATTATACTTATAAGTTTTTATAATAAATATTATAAAAAGTAAGATTAAAGAAATAAAGAAATAATAATAAAATAAGTAATATTTAAAAGTAAGTTAATAATAATAATTTAATAATAAATAAATTATAATTATTAAAAGAAAAAAGTTATTAATTCTTTTAAACCTTAAAAGTTAAAGCTTTCTTTTATTATTAAGTTTTTTATATTAATTAAAAGTATTTATAACTTATATTTACTTATAATATAGCGTTATATTAACTTTAATAATTATAATAATTATAAACTTTATTTATTAATAAAATATAATTTTATTAAGTTTTATTAAATTTTTAAAAAAGTTAAAAATAAGTTTATTTTTAATAAAATATTATATATAATAAATATATATATAAATATTATAAGGAATATTATTTAATTTATTTAATTTTTATAATATTTACTTAAGGAGTTTAATAATATAAAAAGGCTTAAAAAAGTAATTATTATTATATAATATTTATTAATAAAAAAGATATAATTCTTAAATTAAGGAAATCCTTATTAAGTTATCTTTTTTATCTTATTAATTTATAATGCTTATAATTATTAATTAATATTAATAGATTTCTTATATATATAATAATTATATAAGGAAGCAATTATTTATTAATGTTGTTTTATTTAAGTTTTAAGAGGCTACGTGCCTTGTAGGGGATAATTAAAGTAGTTGGGCAAAGGAGAGGGTTGTGCTTGCATCCTTGGAATTTTATTTAAAGGCATAAATGATGGGAATTAAATGTAAATAAGTTTTTATAAAGGTATATTAATTTATTAAGAAAGTTAAGAAATATTATTAAGCCCTTAAATAAGTATATAAAATCTTATATATTAAATTATATAATAATATAAATAATAATATTATTTTATAAATAATTATAAATGTAATGGGCTTGGGCTATTGCCCAAGCCTTATATAGTGTGGCTAGATAATCCAAGGGAGCTTGGATTATTACGTACCTTTTGGCTTAGATAGCTATAAGGTTGCTAGCAAAACTAGCTTATGGGAAAAGGCGCTAGCCAGCCTGCAGCCCCTTTAGGGCCAAGCCCATAACATATAATCCAAGCTCTAGGGTCAAGGATTCAAGTCATATCTGCCGCAAGTAAATGCGGGCACCCCTTTCGTGAAGAAAAACCCTGGCTTAAAAGGCAATATCGCGGGTAAGCCTTAGGGGTAATTATACCACTATATTAAGGGGGTCCTAGGGGAAGGGGCTATGTAATGGGCTTGGGCTATTACCCAAGCCTTATATAGTGTGGCTAGATAATCCAAGGGAGCTTGGATTATTACGTACCTTTTGGCTTAGATAGCTATAAGGTTGCTAGCAAAACTAGCTTATGGGAGAAGGCGCTAGCCAGCCTGCAGCCCCTTTGGGGCCGAGCCTATAACAATAAAAGCCATTAATAATATTATTAAATTAAATAAATTAATCCTTATACTTTTAATTTTTAATATATACTTATAAATATTATATAAAGTATTATTATTACTTTTAATATAAAAGTAAATAAAAATTATTTTAAAGGCTATAAAAATATTATAAAAAACTATAGTTAAATAATAAGTATAAAATGCATTAAATATTAAGATTAAATTTATCTTTAATATAAAATACTTATTATAATATAAAGTTTATATATAAAAAGAAAGAAAAGAATAAAAGAGTTTATATAAAGTTATTATTATAAATAATTATAACATAATCTTAAATATATTAAATAAAGTTATAATATTTAAATTAATAATTATTTAATTATATTATTAAAATAATAATAAGGAAATATAATCTTTATAAATAAAAAACTTAATTATTAAACTTTAAATATAATTTATTATATAATTATTATTATTAAAAATAAAAGATTGCATTATTATATTATATATTTTAAAAAAAGAAAATAAAATTATTATAATATTAAGCTTATTATTTAAAGAATTTAATAAAATAAAAATTAATAATTTTATTATTAAAGGTATTTTTTTTAAATTAAGAAATAGTTAATAAAATAATATAATAAATATTATTTCTTTAAATTTTATATAATATAAAAAGTAAAAAATAAAATTATAAAATTATATAAGAAATCTTAATTTATTATTTAAAATTATATTATTAATAAAAAGGAATTAATTTTAATATAAAGCTTAATTATTTAAAGAATAAAGTAATAAATAATTCTTATATTTAATCTTTTATTAATTTAAGAAAAAGGCATAATTTTTATAATTTAAGATATTATTTAAGCTTATTCTTAAATAAAGTTAAAATTATATAAGATAATCCTTATAAAGTTATTAAAAAAATTAAAGAATAAATACCCTTTAAATATAATTATTTATATTATTAAACTTTTATATAATATAATAAAATTTAATATTTATTAATTTAATATATATTAAAAATATTATTAATAAAAACTTAAAATAAATTATTTTATATATAATTCTTACTTAATAATTATAAAGTTTATATAATTTTTTAAAATAATAAATATATAAATAAATAATATATTAATTTTATTTATATTAAAATTTTAAAATTAAGAAAAGATTAAAATAAAGATTATAAAATTATAAAATAAATTAAAATAAAAGTTAATATTTAAAAATTTAATAAATTATAATAAGGCTTATATAATTATAAGTATTATTAACTTAATTATTACTTATTAAAAAGAATAAGCTAATAAACTTATTTTTATTAATATAATAATTAAAAAAATACTATAAATAAAAAGCTTATAAAGTATATATAGCTTTAATTTATTAATTAAAAGCTTTATATAATCTTTTAATAATTATATAAATATAAAACTTAAAAATAAGAAATTATAAAAGCTTAAATATATGTCTTTAAATCTTAAAATAATAAAAATTTTTATATTTATAAATAAATTATTTATAAATAATTAAGATTTAATATTATAACTTAAATATATTACTATTTTTATAAATAAAGCTTATAAGGA